GCCTCGGCCCAGCTGGGCGCCTCGGAGGCCGCGGAGCTGAGGCGGGCCGGCGAGCTCGACTACCTGCGGGGCCGGCAAAGCAAGCTCAAGGTGGGCGAGGGCTGGGGGGAGCTGGGGTTTGCACGGGGGCGGAGCACAGCGCCCATCTAGCCTGGCCCCCGGCAGCCCCCAGGAGACATGCCTGTCTCGTGCCCCTTCGCTGCCGATGGCAGATGCCAGCCAGTTCGGCCAAAGGGATCCGTTGCCCTGGGTCACTGCCCCCCAACAGCCCAGTGCAGATTTTGGTGGCAGTGGGACCCACCCGATTCCCTCCGGACCCCCTGCATTGTTGTCACTGTGTGCCCTGAGCCTTGGCCTGGGCCACCCCTCTCTTAGCCAGCATGGCCACGGGGCAGGACGCTACTCGGGCAGGCTGCTTTCCTGTGGCAGAGAGTTCCACAGGTTGACAGTGGGCAGGAGAGGAGCGTGCTGGGGTGGGGCAAAAGGGGATGGTCCTGGCTGAGCCAGTGGTGGCTTCCCCAGGGACGGGGCCCATCCCAGACAGACCCTACCCAGCAGGGCGGGTTAGCTGCTGCTCCACATGCTGGAACTGACTTCCCTACCTCCAGGGCCCCAGCGGGCTTGGTAGCGCCTGCCTCCGGACGCTGCCCGCCTGGCTTCACGGCCTCTCTCCCCACGCCAGGCGCAGGTGGAGGCCTGCGAGCGAGAGATCGCGGCCGTGCAGGGCAAGGAGCAGCAGCTGCAGAGCGAGAACAAGGAGCTGCTGGCCCTGCTGAAGCGGGAGAAGGATGAGGTGAGGGGGCCCGGGACCGGGGGGGCCAGGCTCTGTGCATTAACTGTCAGCATCCAGATCACCATCCAGTCCTGCCTGGGATCTTGCTGAGTTCTCTGCCTCAGTGGCTTCATGTGGCAGGGAGTTCCACCGGCTAAATCATGCACTTCATTGAAAAAACTATTGTTTCCTTTTTCTCTGTTCTAAAAATCATGTGACTGAGTCTCCGCTCCCTTCATATGTCACAAAGTGCCCTCTTCTTAGTCTACTGCTGGAACATAAAATCAGAGCACTCTCTGCTCCATGCAAAGGCCAGCTGATTTCAGCGAGCACACTGAAGGCTGGCTGAGGCCCATTCTCACATATGGACCAGCAGGACCAATCACCTGTCAGCAGAATCCAAACCCATCAAGTCTTTCCATCCAGAGCCTTCTCACAGTTCCTTGTACCCCTCCGGAAGGGAGGGGGGCTGCCCCAGTTTGATCAGTGCCTTGGGGTGCCCCGCAGGAGGGGAAGAAGGTGCTGGAGCCATAGGGGACAGTGGGGCTGATGCAGGTGTTGGGCCACCCCCCTCACATGCCTTGGGGAGCAACCCCCCCCTTGCTGGCTGTCCCCCCTCGCCCTCCCGCCCGCAACCCTGCCTG